ATCACTAGTAAGGATGTTACTTTTGATTAGCTGAATGCCCTGTTTGAAAGGAAAGTGTCTGAAAATCATTAGAAGGGTTGGAAAGTAATAAGACAAAGCTNCATTAGAAGGGTTGGAAAGTAATAAGACAAAGCTACAGGTGGAGCTTGGTATGCCCTCTCAACCTGCTGATTCTGAACAGGTTGAAACAGAGGCTCAGAATGATGTTTTAGATGATGACAGAGAAGAAAATAATGTTCAGGATGTTGTGGAAGAGCAAGGTGTTGAGTGTAGTGACTATCAATTGACAAAGGATAGAGTTAGGAGAGAGATTAGAGAATTTGTAAGGTTTAAAGACTACCTGACTCTAGCTTTACTCTCTTATCAAGATTTAGTCTTTAAAGAGCCTAAATCTTATGAAGAAGCCATTTCTAGTTAGCAATCTAATGAATGGCAGATTGCTATGAATGATGAAATGGACTCCTTGATTAAGAATGGAACCTAGATTTTAGTTCCTAAACTTGGAGGCAAATCCATTGTTGATTGCAAGTGAATTTTCAATACTAAGGAGGGTAACACTGATAAGGTGCCTATAAGATTTAATGCTAGACTTGTGGCAAAAGGTTTTACACAAAAGGAAGGTTTAGACTATAATGAGATTTTTTCTCCTATGATTAAATACACTACCATTAGATTCACGTTGGCTCTTGTTGCTCATTATAATCTTGAACTTAAACAAATTGATGTAAAAACTAGTTTTTTACATGGTGATCTTGATGAAGTGATTTATGTGAAACAACCACCTGGCTCTATTGATAAATCAAAATCTGACCATATATGTTTGTTAAGAATGTCTTTATATGGTTTGAAGAAATCACCAAGACAATGGTACAAAAGGTTTGATACTTATGTTTCTTCTGTTGGTTTTGTTAGAAGTGCATTTGACCATTGCTTGTATTTTAAAAGAGATGATGAAAATGCTATTGTTGTTTTTATACACTTATATGTGGATGATATGCTTCTAATTGGACATAATATGTATGTCATTAATGAAATTAAAAGGTCTTTGAGTGCTGAATTTGAAATGAAAGATCTTGGATATGCTAAGAAGATATTAGGCATGGAAATAACCAGGAAAATGCATGATAGAATTCCGATTTTGAAACAATATGTATACATTGATAAATTGGTTTCTAGATTTGCCATGCATAATTCAAAATCTGTGTCTGTACCGCTTGCTAGCCATTTTAAAATGAGTAAAGATCAATGTCCTGTTAATGAATCTAATGTTAAACAAATGGAAAAGATCTCTTATGCTAATGCTGTAGGATCTGTGCTGTATACCATGGTTTGTACTAGGCCTGATGTGGCTCTTACTATTAGTAATCTTAGCATATTCATGGCTAATCCTGGTTTGGAACATTGGACTGCATTAAAATGGTTATTAAGGTATTTGAAAGGTTCTTCACATTTAGGATTGTGTTTTTCTGCCTGCAATGATGGTGTAGTATTTAAAGGTTTTGTTGATTCTGACTTTGCTGGTAATGTTGATAATAGAAAATCTATTATTTTCTATGTGTTTACTTTGTGTGGAACATGTATAAGTTGGAAATCTCAATTACAATCTATTGTTGCTTTGTCTACCACTGAGACAGAATATGTGGCTGTAACTGAGGCCATAAAGGAAGCTTTGTGGCTAAAAGGCTTACTGTCTGAAATTAATGAATTGTCTAATCCTGTTACATTATATTCTGACAGTCAAAGTGCTATACACTTATGTAAAAATCCAATTTTTGCATGAAAGAACTAAACATATTGATGTTAAGTTGTATTTTATAAGAGATATTGGTGCTAAAGATACTTTGTTATTTGAGAAAATTGCTACCCAATTTAATCCAATTGATATGGGAACAAAGGTATTGCCTCTTGCCAAGTTTAAATCTTGTTTGTAATTGTTGAAAATTGATATTGGCTAATTTGCTGAGTGCAGGTACCAATTTTGAACTTGATGCTTTAGAGGGTGATCACTGGAAGCTGTTTTTACCTAGTATAGTGTATAATTAGCTGCTTGATTAACCACTGGCAAGGTGGAGATTGTGGGCTGTGATGCCAGAATTCAATCCACTTTAGGCAATGATGATTTGGCCTTTCAGCCCATTCCATAATATTACATAACTGAAGTGAGCCCAGGTTTACCAGACCCAATATTCGGTCCACTAAGTTAGATCTGTTGAGTTTTTTCCTAAGCCATTGGATGAACACTACTTATATCGAGGCCTTGATATTTGTTAGGTATTCGAATGGTTTCTATACTCATTCTATTCTTTTCTAATTTCTCTCTCGTTCTTCTGAAGACTTCTGAGTGCTCTCGTTCTTTCATCTTCTTCTTGATGTTTTCTCTTGAATGTGTTTCAAATGGGTATTTTTGTATGAAATCTCGTGTGAGGTGTCTTTGAGTTGGTAGTGGTTCTATTTCTGGTCTCATTGAAGAAACCTCAGTTGACTTGGTGGTTTCGTGAGGGTTACTATGTGTGACTTGGGCCTCACTGTGTATAGGCCCGGCCCAGAGGCGAGGCAAATGAGGCCGCCGCCTCAGGCCCAAATGTGGAGGGGGCCTCAAATTTTGGCCCAAATTTTTTTTTTTTTTTTAAATAACACGATAGGCCCAACTCTGGACGCCCATTGTAATTTGTAACCTAAAGTCTACTAAAACTCACTGAATCAGACGACTCTCTCCTTCCCGCTCTCAATCTCAAAAATCATTCAACTCTCCAACTCAAAGAATCCACCAATCAACCGTTCTTCAAGTCGATGCCTGCAGTCTCCCACTCTCCTTTTTCCTTTCTTCTACCATTTCCCTTTCGTTTTCCAGCTTTCCCTAATCAGTTTTCCATTTCGTTTTTCGAGTTTCAAGTTCCGTCCGTCGCCGCCCGCGACTGCGATTCGCTCTTCAAGGCCATCAACCGTCGACGGTTGACTACTTCCTGCTGGTAATGGACCAGTGGTAGTCTGGGTCTAGGTCTGGGTCTGCGACTGGCGTGGAGTCTTCTCTCTTCTGGAGTTCTGCTGACTGCTGGTAAGTGGGCGATGGGCCAAGTTGAGTATCAGTTTTATGGCTTTTGTTTCATTGTCGAATTTCAGTTTTGTAGCTTTTTTGATTTGTCTAATTTCAGTTTTGAGCTGCTTGTCTAATTTCAGTTTTGTGGATTTTGTGATTTGTCTAATTTCAGTTTTGAGCTGCTTGTCTAATTTCAATTTTGTAGCTTTTGGGATTTGTGAATGATTCTGCCATTGTTGTGAATGATTCTGCCATTCAATTCTACCATTGTTGTGAATGATAGATTTTCTTGATTGCCATTGATTCTGCCATTCAATTCTGCCATTGTTGTGAATGATAGATTTTCTTGATTGCCAGTGATTCTGCCATTCAATTCTGCTATCGTTGTGAATGATAGATTTTCTTGATTGCCAGTGATTCTTCCATTCAATTATGCCATTTCACCGTTGAATCTGACTATAATATAATAGCTTTCCAGTTTTCTTATCTGCCATTCAATTGTGAATATGTTGTTTATATGTTAATGATTTGTAAATGATTCAATTTCAGGCTTGTGAGAACTGAGATGAAACGCTGGATGCTGGAATAGGGCGTGATTCCACAATTTTCGTGGATTTTCTACTTCTCAAGTAAGTAATGGCTTTCTCTAACTTGATATTAAAAATGTTTGAAGCCCTGTCGGCTTATATAATTGGGGCCTGGTCGACTTGTATGAATGTTCATTGTAGCGTGTATGATCAAGTGCACAGGTGCATGTAGTGACTGTATTGAATACTTTAATTGTGAGATAATTGAGATATTTTGTAATTGTCTTTTAGGCTAATTATTGGGCATTAGATATATACTCATACGCCATGTATCCTAAATATGAGTCTGGAACTATGAAGAGAAAAAGGAAACGAAATGAACAGAAAACTGGATAGTTTGCTTTACAAAACATGATTGAAACACTTGATGCACAATTCTAGTCAAAAGATGCGAAGATTAAACATCAATCCTAACAACTAATCAGCACAGTGACAAAAGCTCACAATTGGAGCATAAATTTTATGACTAACTAAGCAATAAGAAACATTTTTAGTCATTAAGTTTTGTACACAATATTTAGGCTACTCCATTAACTAAAATGCCAAATCAGAGATGCTTTGCCTAAAAAGAACTTGTAACGTTACCAATGACATTTATCCTGATAAATATCCCAAATGCTAGTATGCAACAAACTCTCCGGGGGCCCAATTTCGGGAGTTCACCTCGGGCCCCGAAATTCACACGATCGGCACTGACTGTGTAGAAGGAGATGGTTCTGAACCTATAATTGTGATACTTTGATGGTCAGTGGTTATTGTGTATAGTTTGATGTATTAGGGTGGTTTCGATTGTAATAGTATTTGAGATTCTTCGATCTGTAATTCTAAGTTCGATCTTTGTATAACATAAAGAATATGCGGTCATCCATCCTTCATAGTGTCAAGAGTCCATCTCGTTTCTGGAATGAATTGACCAACTAAAATATTGAACCCTATAGAAATGATCTCATATTCATTGTGGGTAAGAGTTATCTTATTTGCCACTGGGCTTACAATTTTGACAATTCAATGTTGAATTGTCAAAATTTTAAGCTTGATCGAACACCACGTCAGCTGTATGTTTTATCCTACCCGAGTTGGAGATCATTTTTGTTGAACCATAATGAAAATTCTATTATAATTGTCTCGTCCAACCCACCTAGGATGATCGAGCACAAAAATGCAAAATACATGAACTTAACCTGGCACTTTTAAGCTGAACTTGAAAGCTCTGCAATTAGTCATCAATATATTTATTTTTTATACTCTCTACATTGTACTCTGGAATTTTAAAATCAACATACATATGTTTGGTCGGGTCCAATATACAATATATTATATATCAAGCATGCTCATAGAAGTAAAAGTGAAATTACTACAAATATGAATCTCCAGACTTATTCATGGGATTTAATTTTCTCATCCATGGCAATGGATTTCTTACAATGAGCAATTGCTGCCTGAATTGCACTTTGCAACTCTTCCGTAGTACTGTCACATGCTGTAGTAGGAGTAAGAGTTCCACTTACTACTAATAGACCACTGTTTGTTGGAGATGTTCTCATTGAAGCTGGTGCTGAAAAATCCCCTCTTCTTCCTCTCAACTCTGGCTTCCCTCTAACACGTAAATTTCCTGAAAATGAATGGGATTGCCTGTGTAATTTTTTTCCTCTTCTGAAGATCAGAAGGGGTCGAACCATTCTCACGTATCTCTTCAAAACCTGACTTACATGAAATTTTAACTTCTTTTTCTGCCTTTTCCCGTCGTCTTTTTCTCCTTTTTGCCATTTCGATAAGCTAAACAAAGAAAAGAGCTTGGAATTTGCTCTTCCTTTAGCATCAAAGTTGTGATCAATATTGCTATCAGTACTGCTGATTGTCTTAATGGATTCTAATTCTTTTATGGATAAGGTAAAACTGTCCAAAGAGTTGTTCGAAGAATGAGGAGATACTGGAAGGTGGGAGAGTAGATGGAGAGGAAGCAAATGGCCATTGTCAAATATATCATCTGCCGGAGATAAATCTATGGCAAATGAAGAAGGGTTCTTATTATTTTCTGGGGTTTTTGCAGGAGCTGAAGGATGAAGAGAAATGCTGAAGGAGAATTCATGAGAAGGAGATGAAGAAGCTGAAGGTGGCAATGCTGCTGCAATTGGTTGTAGCTGACTATTCTCTCTCTGCAGATTTTCTTCATGTTTCTCTCTCATCTTATGATGATGTTTGTCTATGCTCCAATGCTAAAAGGTATGTCTGGTTTGAAGTTTTTCTTCACTTGCCTTGATATGATATTCTCTGGTTAGAAATACTGTAAGGAAATATTTTTGAGGAGATAAGGATGTTAGAAGGAATTATAGTTCATGTGTGAGTTTTGGGAGGATATGTAGGGCGAGCGAGTAGGGGTAGGGGAGCGATGGGGGTAGGGAGGGGGACAGGGGTTTCATTTGTTTAAGTGTTATAATAGAAAGGGGTGGAGAAAGTTGGAAACCGATATTCGCATTTAACAGTGAGTTCCACATGGATTTTATGAGACTTAAAAAATAATAAAAAATAAAAAATTGAAAGTGTTTACAGACAATCTAAATTATAAATCGATGAAAATAATTAATGAATATGTGAATAGTTCTTATTAATCCCACAAAATGTGTGGAATAAAAATAAATTGACCGACTGCAATCATTATCTAAACATCGGCTAAGAAATTAACAAGTAACTATGATTTTATGTCTCAATTGTAAAATGTAGGATAATAATGAATGATTAGCTGGTATTATTAGGCTCATAAAATGTCGGATAAGTGTATTTTGTACACTTATTTAGGACATTAAGAGTGTGTTTGATAGAGATTAAAATCGGATTAAAATTGAAAAATTAGCCTTTATTGTTGACTTTTATTAGAAGGTTGGACCCAATAACGGCTACATTTTCAATTTTAATTGAATTTTAATTCCTCCTAAACAAGTTCTAAATTAAAGTATTTGTTAGTGATTTAGATGATTTATAGTTTAATTTTGTGTTAATTATACTTGTTAGGTTGAACTCAATGTAAATTGGTGGATTTAGAAGAAAATAACAAAAATGTGCCAAAACGAAGGAAATTAAAAGTTTGGGGACCAAAGTGTAAACATTCAAAATTTGATTCGGAGCACAAAACGATGATTGAAGATCATATAGGATCAATTGAATGCAATTGGAGGTCAAATGAGTGAAATATAATGGAAGTATTTTCACAAATCAATTTCCAGCCGAAAAAGTTATGTTCTGAATTTTTAGTCTCAAATTGAGACCAATTTTTCGGATAGCAAACGTTAGAATTGGAAAAATTATAATCCATAAGAATTGTAGCCATTTGAATTATCTTTCCAATGCATTTTCAACCACCACAATCGAATATCTGTAGAAAATGTTATGGTCAAAATGCCAAAAGCTGTTCAGAGACGAACCGAAGCGATACCCTATCTTCCCCAACCCGAAAGCCATTTGCCTCTACGGTGCGCGTGCGATAGTTATACAAGTGCGCGAGCACGGGTCATTTTTGCAGATGAATCAGTAATTTCCTTTCGCAATTCAAACTCTTTTCGAACCCAAATTGAACGCGATTTTGACCTATTTTTTGCTCTTATTAATAGAGAACGAGGCCTACACATTGAAAAACCTCTCTTGCCTCTCATACACAATTTTTTTGCTCTTATTAATAGAGAACGAGGACTACACATTGAAAAACCTCTCTTGCCTCTCATACACAATATTATCATCAAATTCATCAAGAACAAGGAGTCAATTACTATATTTTGAGATGAGATCAAGCCCTAGCAAGGAATTGAAGGTCAATTACATCAAAATTTTGAATAATTTAACATTGGAATTGAAGATTAACATCTTTTGCATTCTATCATGATCCGGGTAATATTTTTTCTATTATTCTTTTTGTAATTTATATATTAACATGTTAGGCTATATTCGATTTTGTATTGGATGAAAATGAACCCTATTGTTATTTGTTTTAATTCAAGACTAGTAGTTTAGTTTATTTTGTATACCTATTGTATTATTTAATTGATTGACAACTAATTAGATAATTAGTTGCTTGTTGTAGTATTGGAAAACCCACAATAAGTTTAGAATGCATCAAAATTAATATATATGTAATAAATTTTAGGAATAACATTTATCACATGTACATTCATATAAATAAATTAAATTTTAATGCATTCTTATCATTCGATTTCAGACTAGGAATAGATTTGGGTCGTGATTAGGAAATGTTTAACTTGTCTTGGAAAAGAAAATTATATATCATAGTTTTATCGCTTGTCAAGAACGCATGAACATAAATAGATTACAAATCAAAAATTGAAATAGATAGCAATATGCGAATTCGAGATCCAATACAATCATCCATAAAATGATAAAAATCATATTTTTACAACTTTCTTAGTTTAATTAAATATAAAATAAAATCAAACTATCTTTTGCTTACATAATTTGATAATTATAAAAAGTTACTAAACTTGAATTAAATTTATTCCCCGTGGGACGATACTCTCAACTCATCAATTATATTACTTGTCATGATCTCGTACACTTGAGGGTGTCACACAAACAAATTACATAGTATTCGAATTTTTCTTTTATTTTTTTAGGCTATTATTTAAACATCCAATCTCTCTGGTTTGATTTTGACAGTATGCATAAGATTATGAAGAAATTTAGGATCCCGAGATTTACAAAACCTTCAGACAAAGAAAAAGATAGCAGATAATAGTAAGACACACGACAGAAAATCAAAATCAAGTTCAGCTTCCACCAGATGCGCCAGAACAACCAGATCCAGTTCTTATAGATTATTTAAATCTCATACATGTTCCTGTGCACCCGGCTATTATTTATCAACCTTTTGGGCAGGCCAACTTTCACATTCGACCAGATGTCATCAACTTATTTCAGAATCATTAGGATATCAGGTTCTCAGAAAAATCAACTGAAGATCCTCATGAATACATACAAGCTATTCTGATGCTTTGCGATGTGATTAGTCATGAAGGCATGTCAGCTGATACTTTTCAAATGCGTCTATTCCCTCATACTTTAAAGGAAAGCACACGAGAATGGCTAAACTCACTACTTCTTCGGAGTATTGTTTCGTGTAATGACATGGTATAGAAATTCACCTTGAAATTATTCCCATCTTCTCGAGTCCATCAAACCAGAAATGAAGCCACTACATTCAAGTAAAAGGAAATCGAGAGCTATCCAGAAGCATGGGGAAGACTCAAGAATTACTTCAACAAGTGCCCCAATCTAAATATTTCTAAAAATACTGAGGTTTAAATCTTATATTTAGACCTGTATCTTGAATACCGTAACATGGTCGACGCTTCAACAGGAGTATCGATCATGGATATTCTCTTAGACAACGTCTTAGATCTCTTTGAGAAAATAGCAGAAAATAAAACTATGTGGCCAAAAGAAGGGGAACTTCGAGGAAAATAGCAGGTATTCACAATATTGATGCAGTTACATAATTGGCAGCCCAGTTGAAAGTATTAACAAGGAAATTAGACAAACTAACTCAGAATGTGAGCATGATGCACCAACCAGAACCAGTCTGCGGAGGCTGTGAGGCAGATTATATAACTGTAAGCTGTTCTTTAACCTCAACCCATGTTTATGAGGAAGTCAGTTATGCACAGAACTTTCAGATACAGTAGAACAATCCTTACTTCAACACCTATAATCCAGATTGGATAAAGCATCTTAACTTCTCATGTGTTAATAACCAAGGTCAAGAATGTCAGATTCATGGCCCACCAGAATTTCAGCAACAACAAGAGAAAAAGTCATCGTTGGAAGAATTAGTGGCTAAGTTCATTACCAAGACTAATTTTCAGAACCAACAGGTTATTCTTCAAAACCAGCAAGTTGCAATTAAGAATTAAGAAACTCAAGTGGGACAGATAGAGGTTACATTAGCCAACATAACACAAGGTACTCTACAAAGTGACATAGATAAAACCCATGGGAACAAGTATTGGCAATGGAAGTTGTGAATTATGCAATTATTGAAACACCAGAAATTAAGCATACAACCCATGTTCAATAGTATATGTGCCACATATTCCATTTCCTCAAAGACTTAAACGGAAGCCAAAAGAGGAACAAGTGGTTCAGTTTGAAGAATCATCAAAGATTAATCAAGAATAATGATTAGACAGTCCACAAGTTAAGACAATTGTTCCTGCCAATAAAAAGTTACATAACAATAAGCTAGACAAACAATTCAAGAAGTTCTTAGATGCCCTCAGACAACTTCACATCAACATTCATTTCATTGACATCATTCTACAAATTCCAAATTATGCTAAGTTTTTGAACAAAATGTTGACCAAAAAGAGAAAGTTGCCAGTAGATGAAACAGTAGTTCTAACAGAAGAGTACAGTGCAATCATAAAGCATATGTTCACTCCTAAACTAAAAGATACAGGGATTTTCACTGTACCTTATTCTATAGTAAACTCAAATAATTTAAATGTTTTAATTGATTCTGGAGCAAAGTATTAATTTGATGACACTGTCTATCTACAGAAAATTAGGATTGGATGATCTAAAAACAACATCAATAATCATATAGCTGGTTGATAGGACACTCAAGCATCCTTATGGAGTGGTATATGATATACTCATCAAAGTTGGAGATAACTTCTTTCCTGCAGATTTCATCATCCTTGATATAGATGCTCAACACATACCATTAATTTTGGGGAGACCATTCCCAGCAACTGCATGAGTGTTAATGGATTTTGAAAAGTGTGAATTAAACTTGATGGTGGAAGAAAAACAACAAAACTTCACCATGAATGTTCCACTCAAACAACCACCTGATATTGAGGAGTGCAAAAGGATAGATCATTGGGGAAATAACAAGAATGAGAAGGAAGAATGTGGAATAGTTGGACGGGACAGTGCGTTTAAGGTCATTGAATTTCCACACAACGTACATAATAGTTTCATATTTTAATTGACGTATGACGAGAATTTTTTTTTTTTTTTTGCAAAGAAAAAGTCGATAGTTTCACTTTGATAATGATAATGTTAACACTAACGTTACAAAAAATTTGATTAACCAACTCGATTTTGATGCAAAAAAATTTCACGTGCTTTGTGTTTGTCATATTTTTAATTTAATTTTGTAAGATGGCGTTAAATATAT